AAAGGCAGAGCGGACAGGTTTGGATCAGAACCTTAGAAAGGATGATGACTGATAAACAGAGCATGGGGCTTCTGATTTTGTACCCGGCCAAGTCAAAGTAAGTAGCTTGGTCCTCAGCTGCTTTCACCGAAGATAAGAAAAGGTAGTACTGTATTCCTCAGTACTTCTTCACCTCTGTGACTTCGTTGCAAATGGACAAATAAAACCACTACAATTTAAGACAATGTTAAGACTGCTGTAAATTATGCTTCTTGCCTACTGGCTCTTAACAGCCAAGGATCATCATCTTCAGAGTTATCTGCTCGGTCCTGCCCCTTACCCATGTCAGCTACGCTGGCTTTGCAGCCCTTGAGAACTGATTCGTGTAAAAAAAATGACCATTCAGGGGAATTTTCTAGGTATTTTGTACTTCTGGCTAATCTCCCAACAGGTACAGAGCAGATTAATTATCAGCAACAGCAAACTTACAAATGTCCAAAACATTTTGACCAACAATATGTGCCCTGACACGCCCTACCCGCTGGATGTTCAGTGCGTACACGAAAAAGCAACAAATCGGTGCACGTGTGACTGAGCAAACCTTGGCTCGAGTGCAAAGATCTTTTTCTGTCCGACACCATTCAGTATTTCAACCAGAATCCATTTGTACACTTTGATAAAAAAGACAAATGGCTTTATTCAATAGTAATTGAATTATACATTGAACTAAACCAAAAGAAATCTACTTATTTTAAATAATTAAGGATAGCAATTAATGTATCTTACATAAGTTCCTTTCCTAACCAGAATTAACTGTAAAACATGTAATGTAGGGCAGATTACAACATTTTATGGTCATTAATGCATTTCAAATTTTAAGCTGATTGAAGTATAGCAGTAGGGATTAAAAAAAATCACTGTAATAATAGCCTGTCCTGAATATTTTATGGAAATTAGAGGCATTTGCTAACTCTGTATGTAAGCAAGGAAGCTAATATGTCTATAAAAAAAATTAACGTGACTTACCACAGAGGCTGTCTCATACAAGACTTCAGTCAAATTAAAAACAAAATGTAAAACAATCTGTGGCTCATTAAACTGAACAGACTGCTTTGAGGCACAGAGAGGACATGTGCATTTATGCCTGTCAACAACATAATTTTCTTTTCTGTTTTGTTCTTGTTTGTTTTTAAATTTCAAAGTATCACTGCTGTACAAGGCCCATTTCCAACAAAATGCCACTGCCTCTGTGACAGCTTTGCATGTGTGTTCATGCCTGTGATTTCTATGATCAAAAAGCAATGGAATTAAAAAGAAACTGATAGCAATATACACATGAAACTTGAAAATATTAAAAAATATGGGTTTTCTTCACCTGATACTATTGCAGCCTCAAGCTTCTAAGCAATTAGTTCCTCTCTTCAGAAAACCTGAATTTTTAATAAGATTTCGTAGATTGCTGACATCTGATCACCTCAACAGAAACTGCAAACGGTGCTTCTAGAGGTTGACCTTGTATGCAGCAGCCTCCTGTAACTGGTAGGCAATGTGGTAATGCTGGAGCGAAGGAAAAGCTTCCTTAGCTGCAACAGCTGTTGTCTCTATACATCAACAGCTACAAAAATAAAGACTGCCTGTCATATTACAAGGCTGTTTCCTTCCTTCTCCCTCCTGTGGTCATTTTCCTCATTTATTCTGCACATTTCTAGGCATCCAGTTTATTCATTTATTTAAATGACAGATCACCAAGACCATTTGCATTTTGAAATTAATAAAGCACCTCCCATTCTGCCATATCTTTTTAAATTCCATGCCTGTTCCAAAACTCAGTCTTCTCTTGGGTAGGGTTCCTACAGGCTAAACTGTCAGAAAACAAACACAAAAGCCCTGAAACGTCCAAACAGAGCACCAGCACCCCCATGCTCCATCCTGCAGCCAGCTAAGCAACATGGCTTTCCTGCTGTCAAGCACTACTTGCTCGCTTTATGTTTTGCAATATATTCATTTTACTAAAAGCAAACCCAAAGCAGCGCACTGTGCTCTCAAGAAAGAGGCTGCAAGTTTCACTATCATCTTAATTTCACGCTGACATTAGAATATTCTGGGTACTGGGATTCAGCACTGCAACACACGCAGCAATAAGGGTTCTCATTTCTTGCTACAGATTATTATTTTTGTCTCTTTTTATGTGAGAAATAAACCTACAGGTCCTGTAAAACCTCTGCAAATAAGAAACAAGATGATCTCTCTTCAGCACAGGTTTTGCCCGTGTTTACACTGCAGCAATGACATGGTCTATGCTTTAAGTCCTGAGAGTGTTTTAATTCTAAAAATTGTCGGCAGGAAAACAACAGTTCTAGCTCACAACGTAGAGCACATATTCAGCAATCCAGGTTTATACTCTTTGACAAGTTCATCATTTTATTGAAAGCAATTCAGAGCAGGAGCGGCGACAATACCTGATGTTCCATGTAGCTCTCCCTTCAATTAAGAGTTGGCCTTTTCCTTCATTCTTTAGCCAATAGCAAAACCAGGAAACTGAAATCCATGCAGACTTCTAAGATCTCATAACACTCAAAACTATACCTGAAAAAACTGTGGACTAGCTCAGCCCATCTCCAGTATAATACTTTCCCAAATAATAGCAATAACTCAATCTTTCTTATATCATTTGCCTTAAAATTCTCATTCATTTTATCATTTCTTGTATTCATTTGATCATCTTTTTTAACATTCTGTTTCCTGGAATGCTTTCTACTTGATCTAACTGAAAAAATACGAGGGGATTTAACTGGGGTAAGGTAAGTCTGTAGATGGTCACAAGTTTGCAGTTGTCACTGTCATTGGTCTAAAGACTTACAGGAGCATGAGGTGGTTTGCTGTTTGTGCTTGGCAAAAGAAGAGAATTCTCACTGGCTTAGGGTACATCTCATGAACAGAGATCCCCTGAGAGCAGGGGTTGTGCCTCACCAGAAATCCATTACATCGCTCTGGATTTCTCATCCCATACTCTTGTCTAAATTTAACCTAGAGACTTCATCTCGGCAGCTGCATGCATGACCAGCTCAGTCTGTCTAGACCTGCAGAACAGCACACACATCGAACTGCCCGCTCCCATTTCTGATGGCAGGTCTTCCTCTGTGGAGCATAGGTAGAGGAGCACAGAAAGAACAGTGAGCTTCTCCCAATACACACTTTATTTCAAACCAGAGAACTGGCTGCTTTGAACAGCTTCTCCCAGTTACACAAGACTCACAAAACATGGAAAAACTGAAGTGAGAAGCATCAGTCGCTTCTTCGATGAACTTAGTGGATTCTCAACCATTTCTGTCAGCAGGTGGAGCAGCAGTAGCACTAAATATGGAGAGGTAACTACCTCCCTGTATTGTCTGTTGTCTACCAAAGTAAGATTAGTCTTAGTCACTGCCTGCTGAAAGGACAGAGAAACTACGGCTGTTTTTAGCATTCCCCCCTCCGCTGGGAAACGAAGGAAAGCAGCAAACCTCCCATAACCTAATGCAAGGCCAACAAAGAACAGATTTCTCTTACCTTGGCAAGAGGGGTCTATTTACATCCAGGAACTTACAAAAATCATCAGCCCAGAAAAAACAGCGTCTTGAAAATCATCATAATGGCATCACACCTATCAGAAATAGTTATGTGGCTTGGCCTAATGTAAAAGGTCTTAATGTAAGAGGTCTAACCGAGATCTGTCTGGTCACAAGTAAAGATTCGGAGAAGTTCAGTGCTCTGAACAGGAGACGAGATCGAACACATGGATTTGGAGCTCTGCATTAAGAATTCTGTGTCGACATTTCCCAACAGAAATCAATGCATCCATTTAAAAAAAAAAACAACAAAAAACCCAAAACACTCAAAACCATAGCAATCATTGAAGCTATGCAGGGCGGATAACAGCCTAGACATAAAAGCCCCTCCCTGCATTCTTTTCACCTTACATAATGGCTCCGAGCCTTTAAAAATGGTAAGTCAAGCACGCAATGTCCCCTCTGAGAGGTCAGCTCTGATCGCATGCACCACTCAATTTGTAAAAAGTAGGCATATAGTATAATGATTTCAAGGAAAATAACATATTCAGTCATTTCATGAGGTATAAAGGACAAATGTTCCCAGGCACTTTCATTATAATATAATCATTGGGGTTTGGTAATAACAAAACATTTGGCTGAAAAAGAGTTGGTTAAAATTCTGTCCACTTACCAGCAAAAGGAGAGAATGGTATTTGAATCAAGACTAAAATAAACCTGAAACTCAACAACTGTATTACAAAAGTTTATATTTCTTTGATCTTTTACAACTCAAATTTACAAACCTGTTCCTGACTCAAAGTGAATTTACAACTCATGATCCTAGGCAGAGGTACAACAGTGTGTTGTCGGATGACATATACTGAAGTTTTAGACCACAATTTCTTATTGCACACTTAATGATTAATACTTAAACAGCAGTGAGAAGAAATGTCAAATTCTCCCAGCACTTATTAATTGGCCTGTATTAATGACTTTTGGAACTATTACTAATGAGGAAAAACAGTCATCCCAGCATGGCAGCAATATCTGTAGTGAGGTGATAGTCTTCTAGCCATTAAAAAAAAAAAACGGGGTGAAGGAAAGAAAAACAGCCTCTCAAACAGGTTGTTTATGACGAAATTTCTAAATTGCTGCCACAGCACAGCAGGAAGAAATGTTGAGGGTGCCGCCAGCAGTTCTGTTGTATGATTAGTCCCAGCAGCTATCAGTTAACTGGAGTTCGTGTGTGTGGTATTCCCCCTGGTTCTGTATGACAAAATGACTAGACCCTGGTCAGCATGTAACCAGGATCATGTAAGTTTAACTTCCAAGGTATACTAAAAATCATATACAGCCTCCTGTGGCCTGTAAATGAAGCCAGGAGTGTAGGGTTTACACACTGGGACATCTCCTGTGCAGGAAGAACCTGTGTAAATTCTGTTAGAGTAAACAGACGATTCAAGAACTTTACCAGTATATTACTCCAGTATTTCACAGTTTCAACGGAAGAGCAAAAGCCACAATTCTACGGTGGTCTTTATCTTGGTACTGACCATCATCTTGAAGGACTCCTGCAGAAGCCGTTACTCTTACTGTCTGTTTTACTCTTGTAGAGTTGTTAGAAGAATGTTGCCTGGACACACAGTCCTCTGGATTCTGGCCTTTTTTGTCTTTCCCTTTGGGAAGCTGAGGTGAGGAACTGTTTTCTCCTGGGTCACTGGATCCAACAGTAGATTTAGATTGCCGATCATTTCCCTGAAAAGAAGTATACATATTTATCACTGATGAAAGCTGCAAAGATTGGGGTTTTAATCTCAATATTATTTCAACCTTTTAATACTAAGGTTTGGTACCAGCTGTTAAAGATGTGTATTCATTTAGAACCAGTATAGTTAAAAGATATCTTAAACTATCTGGAAAACTGTGACTATCTCATTGACTTACTACGTGATCCGACTGATTAAACATTCCTCAACAACTTTTTGGAGAAAACAATTTAACATAAGGAAATAATGCTTGATGGAAGGATGGCTAGGTGAATCTATACAAGCATGTCTACGACATACAGCTAAATCTGATCTACGCCTGTGTGCGAAGTCACAAGATATAACATCCGTAACTTGTGAATAATTCGTTGCCTGCATCAATGAGACAATGAGACATGGGTGTTAATCTAAGTGCCAAAAGCAGCTGGAAGAGCATAACGGTCTTCATGTGGCAGCGACACCGACTGTCATATAGATGCTAAGGAAGAGGTCTGCCCACACAACACCCCTGAATCACCGTCAAGGACATGAGCCAGTTCTCCTGCTAGCTCCCTGCTGCAGCTAGAAATAGAACCAGAAATGTTGTCCTGTGATCCTGGGTGTACTAGCCTGAGATTTTATTATTTCTACACATTTTTCTTCAGTCTATATCATTTCAAAATCCCGAACTGTCTCTAGCAGCCCTTTAAGGTGCTGTTTATATTGTTCTAGGCTGCAGGAAGACTTGACCGACTGAAAACCCTCATCACTGCCCCTCACTAAAGATTCTCAGCCTCCTGCTTCTGTCCTCTAACAGCACGTGTAGTTTCTTCCTAACGCAGTCCTGTCAAAACGTTCTATGTAACAAGCAGATGGTATTAGTATCTGGAACACTTCACCTTATCACACACTTAGAAGCCTCACAGAAGATGAACATATTCTACTTCATTGTTTCTCTGCATGAACAGTTTGTGCCACCTGCAACTACCGCAATCAGGCTGACAGACTGGAAGTCTGACTCTGCTGTCTTGCACTTGGATACTTGCACTGCAATCTGGCACCAGTTTGCACCCACAGTGGACTCATTTTGCACACATATAAAGAGATACACATAGGACAGAAAGCAGTGGAGGCTTAAGCTTTGTATTTAACGGCTGGCTAGCACAAAACACATCACACAGGAAACTGGTTTAGGGCCTTACTCAGACTCATCATGCGGAAACAGCATTTTCTGCAAGACATTTCACAAAAGCCCTTGCAATAAATAAATAAATACTCAAAGATATCTGACAAGGTTTATGGGGAAGACCTCAAGGTGGCAGCTGATCTTTGCTGTGGAAGGCTTTATAAAAAATAAAGCAGTTGTCATTGCAACGATATTCTCTCAGATTTCTTTTGTCTAATTGATACTGTAAACAGTTACAGCTTCATCAAGCTTTAATAAGCAAACCACCAGGTTGCTGTGGATTTTTTTCTCTTCGGATTTAATTAAAACCGAAAGGACAGGGACCCCTCATCTGCTGGAATTAAGAGAAATTAGAAACAAATTTATTATAGCACTTGATACTTACGCTGCCTTTAGATTTCCGCAATCCCACGATGGGAGGCAGCGCAGAGGCTTTGGAACTGCAGAAAGAGGCCACAGGTTAGAGCTGCGTGCGTCAGGTAACACTGAGCTGGTTACGGCAACTGCGTCAATTGTTTTGTTTACTGTGCATTTTTACAAAGGATCACTCATTCCTGTTCACTAGCCTATGTTTAAATGCATAATCATTAGCTTAATCAAACAAACACACATCCCCACATGCATACTTTATACACTGGAAATTTGCCAGCGTGAAAGATCCTTACAACCTACAGCAATTTCAACAAAACTCTGCTTACATCAATTCATCAACACAGCTGTCCTTAGGTTGCAGAACCTGTTTCCCACAACACTTGCAAGTTATTCACATTGTCTATAGTCGCTCACTAAAAAACCAAGAAACCAAAAAACTTACACCCCAGTTTATATGTAGAAAGTGGGACAAATTCTCTAAATCACACCAGTTTGTGGAACAAATTACCATTTCTTTCCACTAATTTCAGTGAAATGGCTCACAATTTTTACGTTTTCCAGAGATAGTAAAACCCCAAGTTTCTTCTTACAGACACCCAATTTTGAACACTTACATGTTTTGATCACTTATGTGATCATTCTAGCCTACAAAAAATAGACCCGAACTTCAAACTTTTTTAAGAGAACACATATTCCACAATATATTACTGAGCAAGAGTAGAACTAGACTGGCGTAGCTGCACCCAATCTCATTCAACTCTGCACATTCGTATCCCAGGAAAAACACAACACATTAAGCCAAGTCAAAATAATCCTTTCTCTGAAATTAATTTTGTGATCTATGATCAATGGCATATTTGAGGTGAAATAGTCTTCTGAATTTCCATTTTTTCTTTCTCACTTACTGTCAATGAAGTTTCACACCCATACTAATCCATTCTTGTTCTGGGCCCCTCACTGCAAGAGAGACCTTGAGGGGCTGTAGCGGGTCCAGAGGAGAGCAGCGAGGCTGGGGAAGGGACTGGAGGGACAGTCCTGGGAGGAGAGGCTGAGGGAGCTGGGGGGGGGTTCAGCTGGAGCAGAGGAGACTCAGGGGCACCTCATCTCTCTCTGCAGCTCCCTGCAGGGAGGGTGCAGTCAGGTGGGGTCAGGATCTTCTCCCAGGACGAGAGGGCCCGGCCTGAAACTGCGTCAGAGGAGGTTGGGGTTGGGTCTCGGGCAGCCCTTCCTCACGGAGAGGGTGCTCAGGCCCTGGGATGCTCTGCCCAGGGCAGGGGGGAGTCACCGTCCCTGGGGGGGTTTAAGGAGAGCCTGGATGTGGCACTGAGTGCCATGGTCTGGCCATTGCGACGGTGTTGGGTTGTACACTGGACGTGATGATCTCAGAGGGCTTTTCCAGCCTCAACAATTCTGTGATTCTGTGATCCCTCCCTCTGTCATCCTTGGAATGATGACCCCATTACTTCACTGGTGGTACTTTGGGAAAAACTTGACACACACAAGCATGTGAGAAATAACATCACACACCTATAGAACTTACCCCTGGGGCCTTCTCATCGTAGATTTGCTAAACAGCAGATCACCATACGGCAACTTCTTAAACTTTTCTCTACCCACTGCAACATATATTTGCCCATTCTCCAAGTCTGATCCATTCTGAATCAGTTTTCCACCTAAAGTGTAAAGTCTGAAAAACATGAAAATGCTTAATACAATAAACCTTAACATTCAGTTAGGTGTATTAAGTGTTGAAAGCTATTCTGATACAAACACACTAAATCCTGTTGAATTTCCAGATATACAAGGCTAAGTTGGGTTGGGCACCTATACAATGAACCTTTTCAGAAGAATACCAACAGCCTGCCTTGAGAACAGCCCTGACTTATAAAGTGCAAAATTTTCAGTTTCAATGGAGAAAAAGCTGCTGAAATTCATACACATGGTGACACAATCTTGAATAAACACAGGAAAAAAAATGTAGCTTACAGAACCAGGAATCAAAAAGTAGCTGAGGTTGGACACGATCTCTGGAGACCACCTTGTCCCATCGCTCCATGCAGAGCGAGAGCAACTGGAGGCTGCTCGAACTGTGTCCAGGTGTGTGTTGAATACCTGCAAGGATGGAGACTCCATAACCTCTCTGAGCAACCTGTGCCAGTATTTGACGACCCTCACTGTAAGAATTTTTTTTTCTTCTGTTCAAGTGGAATTTCTTGTGTTTGAGTTTGTGCCCACTGCCTCTTGTCCTGCCACTGGGCACCACTGAGGAAGAGCCTGGCTCTGACTTCTTTCACTCGCTCCCACCAGGTATTTATACACACCAAGAAGATACCCCTGAGCCTTTCTAAGTGCAAAGACTCAAAGCCCTTAAAGGCAAAATCGCAGCTTTTAAAAATCTTGGTCATATTGCTGATTCCTCATGAAGAGGTCTTCTAACTCTGAAGCACCCCTTTTGCATTACTCATTTTTACTTTTCAGCACAAACATTCCACAGACATGCCAGCAATTTAAAGAGCAATTTACATTTCGCTGTCTCACAGACGACATCAGTTATGCACAAACAATGAAAATAAAATAATCTAAAAATCAGCAAGAAGCCTATTTCTGAATTAATCTCACTGTGTTTTACCAGATTACATTTTGCTTTGGGGAAGTTGGGAGGAAAAGCAGCAAATCAGTCTACCACAGTTTAAGAGCTGTTTCATGTATTTGTACAGTGCTGCAGGTATATAAAAGTATATACAAACATGACTGTGGCCTTTTATTCCCAATCTTTCACTTTCCTTGTGTTTTAATGTTACATTTAAGGCACAAAAGTTGCATGCTTAATGTAACTCCTGAAAATGTTGTGGATTATCTGGCAATATCTAATTGTATTTTTCACATGGCAAATAATAATCACAATAACTGAATCACACATAATCAGTCACTGAAGATGAAAGTGAAATTAAAACTGTGTTTTGAAAAATGGAACTTTGAATAAATAAAAAACTGTTGACTTAAGAAGCACCACACAAGTTTTGCGACACTCCTGAAGCCTTCCACCCTCCCACCTCTTTCCCAGACCAGCTGGGTTCTCTCTGCCAGAACTACACAACAAAGACCTTCCCGTGGCCACATCTTCTGGTCACTGCGGGATGACCTAGGGCTTGTCCTGTGGGATGTCAGTGCACAGGGACAGTTTCCACCGTCCCCCCTGAACCCAAGGCACAAAGCACACAGCTGACAAAGTAGATGGCAAAGACTCAACTTGTGGGACCAGCATCCCCAAATTCCCAGTTACTGATGCATCAGGTACCAGCCCAGCAGGTCGCTGTACCCTATCCCCACGCATGATTTGGCAAGCGGGAAAGCTACATTCTCATTGTCTCCTCTCGTATTTCTTACCTATTCTGATCGGGATGATCAATAATTTATTAGTTTTTTTAAAAGCCACACATGGAACTGTGTAAGACTTGGCAGTCTTGCATGTCTTTTATTAACATAGAAATGAAAAAAGTGCCATATACATAATGCAGGTTCTTATAATTGCGCTTATGCTTCTTTAAAGAGAGATTATATCTTCCCAGCATCAGTGGTCTTACAGGACGTCTCCTAATGCTAACATAGTTTCAGTAACCCCGGCACTTAACACATAACTTATTAAAGAACAATGATCACTTTACTAATGTATTTAATATGTATTCCTAGCATTTTAAGGGAAAGAAAATGAAAACTGAGTTAATAGAAAACCAGAAATAGGAAAACATTAAGTAATTCAAAATGTCACGTACATTACCATATTTTTTAAAGGATTAAAACTGAGCACTGAAGGGAACTTCTCAAAAGCATTACTAGCTACGTACAGAATCACAGAATCACATAGAATCACAGAATGTTAGGGACTGGAAAGGACCTCGAAAGATCATCTAGTCCAATCCTCCCGACGGAGCAGGAACACCCAGACGATGTTACACAGGAAGGCATCCAGGCAGGTTTTGAATGTCTCCAGAGAAGGAGACTCCACCACCTCCCTGGGCAGCCTGTGCCAGTGTTCTGTTACCCTCACTGAGAAGTTTCTTCTCAAATTTAGGTGGAACCTCTTGTGTTCCAGTTTAAACCCATTACCCCTCGTCCTACCATCGGTTGTCACTGAGAAGAGCCTTGCTCCATCCTCGTGACACTCACCCCTTACATATTTATAAACATTAATTAGGTCACCCCTCAGTCTCCTCTTCTCCAAACTAAAGAGACTCAACTCCCTCAGCCTTTCCTCAATCATTTATGTTTTCACATACCTTATTCAGTTTCAGCCAGGAGCGACACCAAGTAACGAGAAAAAAACATGAAGTGTTTTTTAACTGCTAAACAACTTGCGAACAGAAAAAAATTGGTGCACTGTAAACAGCTGTTACTTTTTCACTTCTGAGCTGCGCTAGCTCATAATTAGATCTAGAAAGCTGCAAAATTCATGTGGGTTTGCTGCAAGTAGAAATGCTAAGCAGACAGATAATAGGAGCAAAGAAATGCAGGGCTGAGAGGAACAATCAGGGGAAAGCTAAGAGTCCACAGGTAGCACTACCTTAACCTTTCATCGTCTGGGTCAGCTCTGGGAGAGAAAGCAGAACTGCAAGACTACCTTATCTTCACTGATATGAGAAAGATTTTGCAAGTTTCACCTCACTTGTTGCGTCAGCTGTGAAGAATGATGTTCCACAAAAGGCCCTTTCTCACCCTAGGGAGGGATTTTCATGCCCTGCTCTGCATGGGGCAACATGAGTATGTTGGCAATGTGCCTGCGCACATCTTGGCCGCCGCCTGCGCTGCGACGTGTCTCATGGAAATGCAACAGCTTGCTCCAACACTTGCCACAGCTACCAAATCCTATTTCAGAGAACTTATCTCACATTGAAAAAACCTCAAGGGACTGAAACTTACCTGTCCAAGAGGTCACCTTCGATTCCTGGGACACCACAATGATTCAGACCAGCTGAGGTTCCAGAACTGGCAAACCCCCAACTATGGCTTTGCCCTTGGCTCTTATTAGGAGCCCAATTATAAAGCACATCCTAGTCAGGGCACCAGATCTTTAAAATCCAAAGGATTTAAAATATTCTCCTTTAAATTATTTGCCTGTTTAAATTTCTCATTTATCCTGAGAGGTAACTTAATTATTAATATAAATATATTGCATTATTGCATGCCTCCTAACTAAATATTTAGTCAGGAAGTAACAGCTGAAACAAATTGAGTTTTTTCTTTTTTTAAATACCAGTTGAAACGAAACCTGAAGGTTACTTGGAGTAATCATATTTCCATTTTGTGGTTTTTTGAGGTATTTTAATTTTCTTATAGTGGATTTTCCCATGAAAAAAATCAATTATATCTACCTATGGAGTTTAAAAAAATATCTATGCGCATCAAGTGTATCTTGCAAATATTCAGCTTCCTGATACCTGTGAACAGCTCCACTTCTGAGGCTAACTTTTCCTGTAACCATTTCGAGAATATGATCCCAGTGATTCAGTGTTTTCCTGGGAATGAGGAGGCGCACTAGAGGGCTAGTAAGATCTCCGTTGGCAATCAGACTGAAATAAAGGAAAAGAAAATAATTTGGAGGAGCATTTTAAACAAAACTCATCTGAAGTTAAGGTATCACCACCACCCCTGAAACGGCAGGTCGCTAACGGAAAATTCTACTTACAAAATAGTGTAGGGCTCCTGCAGCGGTTTCCGAAACCGTGCTGACACGGTGATTCTACTGTGTGTAACTGGCTTGACCTGCAAGGGCAAAAAGAATTAGAAATTACTCAGTCTTCACACTGTGGCAAAGAGTTTGCCCTAACCACCACCAGCAAGAGGGCTGGCATATGCAGAAAGAAGTTTCTGGTTTTAAAATCTGCATTTTATTCCCCTCCAGCTTCACCTTCTGCAGAGCCCACACCATTACTGCTGCATGGTACGGTGCGGCACAGCACCACGCAGGGCTCCCTCTGAGGGGTCAGAATCATTCCAACATTTTTGGTGACTTCTCAGCTCTTGCTCATAGAGACCCAAAGCAGCACTCCCAAATGCTGTTCTTGCTTTCTTAGTCTTTACTGCCCGTAACCATGGCCCAGGCAATAAAACACTATTCTCTTTTTAACAATAAATGCCATCTCCAGGTCTCTCTGCTATTGTGTAATAATTACTTTTGCTCTTGTGTAGGTCTTTACATCCAAGTCCATCAGCAATTTATAAAGGTTGCTGAATACTGTGCTTATTTTAGGGCAACGGCTCACATGTGAGGTGAAATGCAGATTTTTAGCTCTCAGAATAAAGCATAGACTTATTTTCTAGCATTATTCCCTTCTGAACAGACTCTGCACTGAGATAAGTCAGGTGGCTCCACATTAATGTCATTATACTGAACAGAAAGTTACACATAACTGCCTAGCTGGGATTTCCTTTACACAAGCCATTTCCTAGGCAGTATTTATTCCTTGAGACCTATTTTGTAGGTACATGTTTGTCTTGGCCTCACACAATGAGAAATTTTGCACTCGACTGTACACAAGCTATGCCTTAATGCCTAAGGTAATGGCAATCCACAGACTTGCTATTAATTCCAGTGTGCTCTGAATCAGGTGGAGGATTCATATCTACTACTACAGGCCTGGAAGGTAAGTAAGAGGTTGTTATCATACAGCTCATTAGGGGAGGCAAAGAAATTTTTGGAGACTGCCAAATAATTTAGGACCTCAGCTATTCTTGCAGAAACATTTAAAGTGCACAGAGCACAACTGGTGGTTTACAGTACTAAAATTTGAGGTGAAAATTTACCGAGTCTCTAGGAAGAAAAAGAAAACAGACTTTAAACTGGTTATTTGTCCCATGTAAGCAATCTAATAGAATAAAAAAAAAATGAATACAAAAAAAAAAAGGGTAACTTTCTAAAATGTATTCTACCGAAGGCTGAGGCAATACTGATTTACTTCTATAGCATTGTGTCACAATATTTAGGCTCCAAAGACAGGTTGCATCCAAAATAGGAAGGACTTAACTTTGGCTCCCCTTACACCTTTCTGTGTAGCTGCCATGTTGCCAGGCTAACCCCCCAATCAGTATTCAACATATAACTAGTAAAGCCTTACATCGCTTTTCCTGATTCTTCTATTCCTGATGCTCATCAGTGCTGCTGATACCTGTGCTCAAGCTCTCACTCCCTCCAAACGTTCCATCAGAGAGGGGGTGGAAGCCCCATCCCTGGAAGTTTTTTAAGGCCAGGCTGGATGGGGCTCTGGGCAGCCTGATCTAGTGGGGGATGTCCCTGCCCATGGCTGGGGGTTGGAACTACATGATCTTTAAGGTCCTTTCCAACCCTGACCATTCTGTGATTCTGTGATTCAATAATAGACACTGTGGCATCAACTTGTGAGTCTGTGTTTTGGGTTACTCCCTTAAAGAGCCATTAATATTTCTGGCAGCCTTTTGTGGCTAGCATGTCAGTCAGCCCCGTTCTTAAAAAAGCAAACTGCAGGGGACTAAGATGGGACCAGCTTGGGCAGAGACTTAATATTTGTCTTTTCTACCTAAATGTGTCCTAAACCAGAGCAAAATGCAATCTTGCACCGTTTTGCTAAGCGTGTTTAAATCAAACGTACCTCCCATACCAAAAAGTGAAAAGAACACCTTGGTGCAACATTACATTTGCTAATGTAGCACCACAAAAATCAGTGCACGGAAACATTAAGATGACTGTGACTCAATTAAATCACTCCCAAGTATTTAGCACAGGGCACACACAAGACTTCAGCTTTCTGGGAGCCTGGAAAAGAGCAGCCCAGACTAAATTAAGCAGATGCTGGACCCTGTTGGCCTAGAACTCTTCAGTCTTTTGCCACACCCGACATGGACAGTGTAGAGCACCTTTTCTTGGAGCAGGTGTTTAGGCGATCACTGTTTGTCTGCAAGAGGAGGGATAACCAATGTCTTTGGGACTGCCTGCCTCCCCAGTTTAGACCTGATGTGCTTCAGGGGCCAAAAGAAAGATAAACTATTCATGTTTACCCAGGACACAGGGAAGCTCCAATGCTGCAAAGGAGAGAGAGCGAAGGAGAAAATAAAACTATAAATTATAATAAAGTAATTAAATAAAAAGCCAGAGCGGAGTGTCTGCACAGAGGTGCTGCACAAACATGCAGGCAACTACAGTACAGTATAATATAGTATTCCACACTGCATGAGAGGGAACTCTTACAGATGCCCAATGTATGTTCTGGCTACAGCATACTAAATCAAGCTCTCCAAGTATAACGGTGCAAAAACTCAGCACAAGCAACCTAAGCCTGCTCGGAAGCCACCCTCAGAAAAAATAAGTTTGGTTAGATCTACACTGCGCAGTGATTTAAAAAACAAAAACAAAGAAAACCCAACACCACCCTACCCACTGCTCTTCTAACTAACCTGTCCTGTTGACTTTTTGGTACAGCCTTCAAGTTACTGCTTCAGAGAGTTTAGAATAACTTCTGCCTGGCCAGTATTAAACTATTTATGAAAAGCAAGCCACATAATTTAAATATACAGAAGTATACATTAACAAAAGATCAAGCGTTTAGTAACCGTATATCAATCTAGTTCCTCTGAAGCACATGGAGTTATGCCAAACCACTCTGGCAGAAGACCTGATCCCAGTTTAATGAAAGAATATATGGTTCAGCTCCCATTTTGTTTGCAGGAAGTGTCTGGAATAGCCTGATCCCTGCCACACTGCAGTTACATATTAACAAAGATGTGGTCTTGGGTGAAAGCTCCTGGTTACATTAAGAAACCAGCATCACTAGCCCCCTAAACCCCTTATTTTCTTTTAATTTCACCAGCCACATTCTCAGCTGATGTAAATCAGCACTTCCTCATTTACGTCAGCAATTGTAAGCAGATTTACGTTAACGAGTGGTCTGGCCCCATTAAAATTTTATCTTTAAATTTCATACATTTTCAGATTGTTTGAAAAGACCCACTCAAGGGCAGCTTCCATATCGTACTGACAAATGTTGCCAGCATTTCACAATCCTGAGGAGATACTCATCTGAGGTGCCACAGGAAAACGTAGAACAGTAACATGAAGTACTTCGGGAAGGAAGGAGAAAGCATTACACCAATTGAAACTCAGAGGGAGTTTTAAGTAAACTGGAGGCAATTAATCAAATGAGAATTTGCAAGGCAACACAAGCTAAACGCAGTTGGAAATACACCCTGGGATCACAGACACTCAAAACCATCATCATTTTTACCTGTCTACACTACAAAGAATTTTCTGTTTCCCACAGTGGGAAACTATGACACTCTTACACCACCAGCGGCACGGATATGTCTTGAGGAATTACCTAGAGAAATTATCTAGAGAGGAATTACCACCTGCGGCATAACTCCACAAAGCACCTTGCCGAGGGTGGGTGACACAAAGCAGCTGAGCTCAACAGAGGCTAGGTTCTGGGAGCGGGGATCAATCCACAGTGTTTGAGATCTCTGTGCACACCCCAATTTCAGAATACATTCTGCAGAGAGCCTCTTGGAGCCCAGCTTGCATCGTCAGTGGTAAGTGGCCGGGGTTGAACTGGCGTTGCTGAATGCCAGCTGTGGCTGGGTGCCTCCCAACATCCCTTTCAAAACACAAAGCCAAGATGCAGAGCAGCATCTAACAGAAACAGAGTAAACAAATCCACGTCCTCGCACGCAGCTGCTTTATGACAACATTGTACATGTTTTCCCCCTACACTAGAAAACATGCTAAATATTAGCAAAATTCAAGAAATACAGACGAAACATTTAGCAAACACACAACACTCTGCTTGAGGTACTTAGATGTTCCACTGTTCACTGTTGGCAAAAGAAAACCATGAAAAAAAACCACCAAAATGATCAGCAGCCAAACCATTACCTCAGGTATCCTATCACACATACACATCCAAAAATGGTAAAAACCATAATTCCTGAAATGGAGATGCAGCAGAATGATGTGTATTTGTTTTGGTCAGTGTGAACCTATTTGCTGATCCCCATGCGTGAAGTTTTTGCTTCTACAAATCCTACATTCTATGAACCCTACATTACACTTTTCACATTTTTATTCAAATACAGGCTGGAAAGTGGGATAGACCCAGCAAACTACCCAAGCTCCAGTTTGCTACTCGGGCCTTGCAGGAAGGTGTGCGACACTTCAGAGAAGCAATCCTCACATATCGGGAAAGCATGCAGTTCATTAAATAGTATTTTAATTATTCTCTGATCATACCACACTGCATACTTAGTTTCTAAAAAGGTGGTTTTTGTGTACTTGAGAATAGTTTCAAATAGAAACATACCATTCTTAGCTTTTCTTTTTCCTCCAGTGTATATTAAACGATCAGAGATATGCTAAATACAGAGGTCTGGCAGCACTTCCACAGGCTGCCATGAAGACACAGGCTAGTTATCCAGAGATAAGAAATGGTACAGCCATGTGAGCTCCCTCATCAAAGGGGGAGCTGAACAAGTACAAGATCGGTGGCTTTACATATACTTAAAGGCATACTGGATGGCAGCAAAACAACAGTCACAAAACATAACCTCCCTAAGCCAGCTGCTCTGTGCTGGTTTGATTCATTCGGGTTTAAGAGCCAGCCTTTCTTACTGCTGTAGTAATACAGTCTTGGGTGCTATGAACATCTCACCCATTACCCACGTCACTTTAACCTTTTGAAGATTTAAATATTTCAACACAATGTCACGTTCCAAATTTTATCAGCTCATGCAATGAGCCATGGCTTTGCCAGTTTGTTACACTGACCTGTTTGTTAATCAATGTGCCCAGGAAAATTGAGAACAAATATTTGCATTCCCCCAGGGCAGAACTGTGGTCAAAAGAACCAAAACTCCATTTATACACACCATCACCACCCTGTGATGTAAAAGAAAGGAATGTTCAGGGTTCAGTGGTCAAAAGCAAATTGGAACGGTAAGTTTTCTAAAGCTATTACAGCACAGGAAACATCTAACCTATTTTACAGAAACCTGACTTTGTTTAAATGGACATTTTTATACACTTTGACAGGGAATGGAAGAGTCAAACTCACTGATGTGTTTGGTCAGTGCAAAAACATTCCAGGTATCCTACACAGTAATTAACCTGGATAATCTACACTTTGGTGGCTACTTCGCATTGCTAGGTGGTTCACTGGAGAGTACAGAGCAGCCACAAGCAGATATCTGCTGGTGCAGATACAAACCACCACACAAACTGCTGCTACCTGAGTGTGTTTCCAAGCTTGCGTAAACAGGTCACAGCACCACAGCAGCATGCAAACTTCTCAGCTCACAGAGAGCACAGATAAGCTGGAAACAAACTCTGTCAGAATGAATGCTGGGTACTGATTCAGGGAGCCTTTCAGACCACGAAGTTCCTACAAAATTCCCAAAGCGCTTAAAGCCACCCTGCTCACCCCCAAGGTCAATCACCCACAAGCCTGTCCAGCGCTCCAAAGCAGACACCCCTGTGTTGCTTCTGGACTCCAAGAACAGCGCTGAGGTGCATGATGCTGCACCCTATGCTTCTTCAACAGAGGTTTGACACAAGTGAAACAGATCCTGACACTCACTGCTGTCACCAACACAACACTGCCAATCCCGATCATTTCTGCCTCTCACAATTTGAGTGTTTTCCCCAGATTCCTCAGATTTATTTAAAACAAAAGGAAGTCTCTGGCTGTCTGGCTAATCAGAAGGGCCTGACTGAATGGTGGCTGAAGAAATAATAGTGGCTGAAGAAAGCAACACTCAAAAAATCTTGGGGTTTTTTCATCATTTTTAATCAAAGGTAAAAGCTGTTACTGTTTTCAGTCAGTTGGAGCAACAAGTTTTTTATGTGACTAACATGCCTCATTAAAAGCATCGGTACTGGCATCACTTCCCTTCTTCCCAGCCTCCTTCCAGAGCAGAAGGAGCAGTTACCCTACAGAACATAGCGAACACCTTCTTCAAGGAAAGAGACTGACTTTCAAGTTTCACATCAAATTCAATACGGACCATGAAACTCTCCAGTGACATGAATCAAAGCCTCTGTAAGTCTTCTCTTGCTTCAAAATCCACTAAATCCATCTGTAAGCAGTCTCTAAAGTACTCAAGATTACACAATTCGGGTATACGGAACTATGCAAAAAGAAATTTTATGAATTCATAGGCCTAATTAGAGAAAAAAAAGGACATAGTTTATGTTTTAAGTGGATGTCTGATCAGTTCTTCTCTGATTCCTCCTGGTATCAGATTACGAACACTCAGGAAGACTATCTGTTTTGTATATCTTGTTGTGCTAATTACGTTACCAGGATACTAAATACAAAACAATGACATCTAAAATATAACTGTTAAAGATGTTGCTCAGGAGAGTAAACGTGTATCACATTTTTTTAATCTTTGCATGTTGATAGTCTTATTCTCTAAACTCCATCTACAGTAATTCAGCATCAGAAAATGAGAAATTCCTTACTCAGTCGGTGACACCAGCAGTTGAAGAAATCAAACTGCTCAGTAATTTTGGGTAGCCTAAACCATGTTTGTTTCTTTCTAATTCTTAGGGAAGAATTAGGAAAAAGTATCCTGTGAAGATAGTTTTGATAGGATAAGAGAGTGCCTGAATAGATGTTAGAAATGCTGCCAGCATGTGCAAATTACAGCCATCTAGTGTCAAAAACTATCTCCTGTACGAAGAAAAAAATACCATTCAAGAGAAACAGATGATCTTAGAGAATTAAGGATTAGAACTAGATAGAAGTTTAGAATTAACACTACGAGTGACTGGGAAAAGCATTTCAACTAAATGCGATTTTTCTCAAACAAAAATACACCTTCTCCAGGGACAACATAAGTTTTGAAGAAAACTGGGTAGTCTAAAACTCCCAAAATTCTCATTTCCACCATCTTTTTCTGCATGAAAAAAAGCTCCCGGGCATTTATGGCCAGATCCAATGAAGACAACAGGAGATTTTCTTTACTGAAAGTTTTTAACTGGATGTGGCAATTCAGAAAGCTGAGGGGACAGTAATCAGTGTGTCATGCTCAGGGGAATCAGAGTAATAATCACTGAAATAATATGCTTGGAATAGTAGATAATTGCATTATTACTAAACATAATAAATATATATGAAAAAAATCAGGCATAAATGCAGGCATGTCTCTAACATTAACTGCAGGTTTACTTTTTAACCATTTCAGACATCCCACCTCGTTATTGACTTCAGAAGGTTTTTTCTTTGTTTCTCCAATGTCCAAATAGCTGTGGAAGGAAAATGTTTTTCATTATTTACAGAAGCATCTGACTTATACGATACAAATATTTCTACACTTTTCTCATACACAAAGCTTTTAAAATTTATCCAGCCTCGAAATAACATAAAAAATAACTAACTAATATTTTAATGAAGGAATGTTAATATAAATCTGCAGCCTAGGCCTCTGGGCTAATATAAAAGACTGGAGAACCAACCACCTACCTTCAATTTGCTGGTGGTAGAACTGACCACCAATAACGCTCTCACCAGAAAGACGCTCACACACCACTGTGAGGCGGATCAGTAAATCCCAGCACAATATCAACTCACCAGTTTTCAAAGTCACCATCTTGCCTCTTAGCGTCTCACAGCAAGTCTCTGACAGATTTAAAGCTCTCTTTTATGCCCAAGTTTAACCCAGGGCACCAGTTTTAAGCCCTTCAGCCAGTTTTAAGGAATGTTTGTAAGAGCACGGCCAACATTTACAGTACTATATAAATAAATACGATTAGTGAAGAACTCCAATTCTTAACACAGAAATGGAAATTATCTCAAGTCATCCTGTTCATAATTCCTAGGGCACAGGCCTGTGGCATACTTTCAAGAAATATATAAGCCAGCCTGCTTTTACCAAGTTCTTTAGGTTAGCTTTTCTTGAAGTACTCTGTTTACCTTAAATACTTAGGTGTCTTGTTGCATGCTGCAAATATAAAAGTCTGAAGAGCTCTCACCATAGAACTGTGATCACAAAACATTAAATGTCAAATAAATCCAGAGTGCTCCATTCTCTACACAGGCCATGCTAATGCCAAACGCTCACTTACTTTTAGCCTGTCTGTTGAACAGAAACATTTGGGGAGGTGAAACATGATCTGCTGAGATTGTGCCACAGAACCACAGGATTTAATACCAAAAAGGCATAATAGGTCTTTCTTGAGAGTTAAGCACTGCATTTGACATGGAAGAGAGCACAGGGGAAAAGGGGCTTCTATTTAGCCCGTCATACACCTTTCTCTCTAGCTTTGCCACTCGAGTGCAATAAGCTTCAATAAATCTTCAGAAGTGGACAGTGACAACAGTAAGAGATCCTGTTCATTACAGAGACTTTAGTCCTGAAACATAATGAGCTCTCCCGAGAAATGCTGTGTCCTCTAAAAAAACAAAATGAATGAGATCCTGTAAAGATGTTAACTTAGCATGTAAATTCTCAGCCACCTCCAGAAAAGGCTTGTTAAAGATTTATTTTTTTTTTGTAATTCAACTGTACGAAAAACACCCACAAAGACTGAACAAAACATATAATCAGGTAACTGAGACCATGAAATTCACTGCCAGAATTAAGAACCATTATGGATCATGTGCAGAGCCACTTGGGAGACACACCTAGAAGCCCAGATCTCCTCCAGGATATTCTCCCAGTCACCCATGAGAAAATAGAAAAACTGTCAGCTTAATTCTTGGTGTCCTGGCAGGTAAAAGAAAGCAGTCAGTCTATCTTTAAGTAACAAGAGGGACTCGGCTATTCTGGCCATAAGGCTATTCATTTACCCAAAATAAACAGAAGCAATGAGTGATGGACAGCTGGGGGAACTATTTTAGACTTTTAAAAAATAAGTAAAAAAGAAAGTGTTGGGAATTAAACTCCTAGGCTCATCAATTTCACAGGACTGTCAGCAGCTTTCCGCTGCCTCCACCGAGCACGAATTCCGACACTCGCCTCTCTGCTAACACCCCACAGCCTGCCCCTGCTGCACGTCCTTCAGGTTAAAGAGCTTTTTCTCCTTTTCTACCACCATGTCAAGCAGATGGGGAGATGGCACCGTGCAACTGGCGGTAACAGCAGCCTTTCTGGGGCTCGCCTCTAACGCTCCTCCAGTTTGATCTGTTAGAGGCACCTTTCCTCTTGCCTTGGGTCATAGCCTTAAGTCCTCCCTCCGCGCTGCCCAACAAACGCGGCTGGGGGGATGGTTCTCCAAAGCACTGCCAGAGTGCCCAACGCCAAATGCCGATATTCAAGCTCCATGTAAATCTTACATGGCTTTTTCGCCACTCACTTGAGTTTCTTGAAGGCTTCCCTGCCACCAGCCACGTACTGCTCTCCGCTCACCCTGCAGCTGCCGGACGCGATGCCCGCCCCGCGGTGTGTAGATGTTCCGCACGGCTCCGAAGGGCGCCTTCACCCTGCCCGTCACCTCTTTCAGGAACACCTCGAAGTTGGACACCTTCTTCTCGTTGACGACAATCCGTCGGCCCGGGAAGAACGGGTCGCCGTTGCGGTACACCAGCACGCTCTTCACGGCT